AGCTAGGCTGCTGCCACAGGAAGCTCATTTTTCTCCAGGGCCCTCTCTCACCTTGACTAATTCTCAGGGCCTAATCCACAGCTTGTGGGGAAATGGGAAGGGAGGGCAGTGTGGTGAGATCAAGAGCTGGGCTTTGGTGAGCACACCCTTAGGAAGGCTGGGGGCCTGCTCTCCCTGGCTGTGCCAGTCCCCAGACTGCCACTCCCAGGTCCTGCAAGACTTGAGCTGGGAACCGCCCTGTGGATGGGATGTCTTTTAGTCCAGGCCACTTGGCCACCCACTCCATGGCCCTCCCAGTTCCACTACCTATTCTCTACTGTGGGCAGCTCCTGAAGTTGCTCCTTTCCTTCATTCTTCTTCAGTTTCAAGCTGCTCTCCTGCCTAGAAAGGCCCCAGGCCCCAGTCAGCCTCCCCAGCAGCCTCTGAAACTCAGCTTGAAACCCAGATGATGAGAAGTAGTAGACCAGGGGGTCAACACAGGAATTCAGGGTGCTGAGGAGCAGCACGTAACTTCTCCACGGTGGGCTTTCACCCTGGAGATAGCCCACAACATGGGACACATTGTAGGGCCCAAAGCAGATGAGGAAGTTAAGCAGCGTGGCTGCCACGAGCCCTGCTACCCTCTTCTTCCGGTGACGGCTGGCTCCTTTATTGAGTATGCACAGCAGGCGGCTGTAGCAGTAGCTGGTGATGAGCAGGGGCATCCCAAAAAGAACCACAGCCATCTCCAGCCGGACAGGCAGGAGGACGGCCAACTGATCCTTCTGGAATTGCAGGTAACAAGTGCCATTGACACCCTGGCTGTGGGAGGAGTTCCCCGATAATTCGGTGACATAGACCACGCTACAGTGCGCACCAGCCAGGAGCCAGCAGGCCCCGCTGACCAGGCCAGCCTGGAGAAGCCTGGGCTGAGTCTTGTACCACAGCGGGTAGGCCACACTCAAGAAGCGCTCGATGCTCACAGCTGCCAGGAAGAGGGAGGTGAGATAGATGGTGGTGAAAAAGAGGAATCTGGAGAAAGGGCAGAAGATGAAGGGCAGGGGCCAGTGCATGCCACTGGCTGCCTCCACCATTCGGAAGGGCAGGAAGAGCAGCAGGAGCAGGTCCGACAGGGTCAGGTTCAGTAAGAGCACGTCCACGGCCACTGGGCGGCGCTGCAGCTTGCCTGCGAAGATCACCAGAGCCACCAGGTTGAGGGGAAGCCCCAAGAAGAAGGTGAAGAGGTACACGGAGAAGTACAGCCAGTGATTGCCAGGGAAGAAGGACTGGTCCAGGCTTGTGTCCATGGTGATGGCTACTAGAGAGAGAGAGGCAGAGACAGAGAGAGATGGCAGTGTGGGTGGAGATCTTGCACCAGCAGCATCTCAACAATCCACAGGGAACATTGTCACCACCCCTACTTCCTCTTGCTCCCTGGTGCTTTCCCCAGTGGGGTCAACCAGCCTGTCTCCTATTCCTGCCACCAGTAAAGTAAGTACCAAGCCTTTCTCCATATAATCACTCAGGGCCCAGCACTCACCTGATTGTTTGAGAACCCAGGTATTCTGTTGCTCAGCACCTTGAGGGCTCCTCCAGAACAAGTGCAGTTAGTTATTAATATGACAGAACTGATAAAGACCTAGCAGTGCCCACGACGTCACCCACTGCTGAGCGAGGGCACAAAAGATGCTTTCAGCTCTGTTAGCAGAGCTGCACGGTATGCAAAATGAAGAGCAAATTCCACACCTGTAGGCCTGGCTGCTAGGACAGCCTCTCACGGAATGCCCTAACCAAGCCCAAGCAGACTTCATCTTTCCCTCACTGATTCTCCACTTGCGTTGTATCTGCTCCTCTAGAGGGCACTCATCCAGTTTGCCTTGTAAGGGCAGGAAGCACAATGCAGTGATGGAGTGATGGAGCCAGGGCCTGGGTTCAATGTCAGCTCTGTCACTTAATAACTCTGGTGTGCAGCAAGTGACTTAAACTCTCTGAATCTCTGCTTTCTCCTCTAAAAGAGAGATAATCATAGTACCAATCTCATATGCCATGGTGTGAATTAAAGGGTTAATACATGTCAAACGCTTAGAAGGGAGCCTGACATGCTATGATGAGAACTTGACAGATGTTCTCTGCCATCACCCCCTGGTGTGAGCTTGTCTCTGGGGTGATGGTAATAATAATATTAATGATAATGGTGATGGTGGTGATGATGACAGCAGCCACCTTTTAGGGGGCACGTAATCCATGGCAGATACTCTGCTTCTCAGGGTATCACCATTATGTCTCAAACTCCTTGTGCCTTACAGTGTGGAAGTGACTTGCTCTAGGTAACACTACTTGTGAAGTATCATCACCGGAATGCAAACCCAAGTTCTGTCCAGCTTCAGAGGTTATTTATTTATGCACTCAAATATTTATGGGACACAATGAAATACCATTTCACTCACATGCCACTGAAATGGTTATAAGCAAAAACATCAGATAATACCAAGTATTGGTGAGGATGTGAAGAAACGGGAATCTTCACATATTGCTGGTGAGAATATGAAATGGTGGAGTTACTTTGGAAAGTAGTTTGACAGTTTCTTAAAAAGCTAAACATAAACGTACAATGTGACCCAATTCCCTTATAGGTAATCTACTTAGGAGAAAGGAAAACATGTCCACACAAAATCTTGCTCATAAATGTTCAAAGAGCATCAGTCATAATAGCCAAAAAATGGAAACATCACTTGGTGGTCCATCAGCTAGCAAGTGGGCGAACCAGATGGCATATCCACACGGTGAAGCACTATCCAGCAATAAAGAGGAAGGAAATACCCAGGTGTACCATAATGTGGGTGAACCTCAAAAACATTATGCTAAGTGAAACAAGCCAGACATAAAAGACCATGTATTGTATATTTTCCTTTATATAAAATGTCCAAAATAGACAAATTTATAGAGACAGTGAATAGATTACTGCTTGCCTGAGGAATGGGGCTGGAAATGAAATGTTCTGTAAATGAGCAAGAGGGATCTTACTAGGGTGATGAAAATATTCTAAATTGGATTATAATGATAGTTGCACACCTTGGTAAATTTCTAAAAATCACTGAATTTTACACTCCAAATGGGTGAATTTTGTAATTTAAACTTTGTATCTCAAGTAAGCTATTAAAAGTACAGCAGTGAACAAATCAAAGTTTTTGCTGTCATGGTGCTTACAGTTGGTAATAGGGGTTTGGGATGGAGGTTGAGAGGGAGGATACTACAGACACCACCGGAGGGAACACTGCAGGCAGAAGGAATGCTGGGTGCATAGGCTCCACCTGCTGGGGCAACTGGTAGAAGGTTTAGGGCTCAAGTGGCGACAGTCAGGAGAGGATGCCAGGGCAGGTCATGCCAGGAGACCCCATTGGCCCCAAGGAGGAACTGAAATCTCCCCTAAGAGGAGGAGGCACAAGTAGCTGGAAGAAGTGGCCCAGCAGCACATGCTCTGGAGCAGTGGGAGGAGGAGTAGTCCCTGGCATTATTGGGAGGGTCAGTGGGGCCACCTGAGCTTTTATCGAAATTCTCTGGTGTCACCACTGTGGAGGGAACAAACTTGTTTCTGCCTCTCGCAGAGCCTCTGGTAAGTTACTTAATGTCTCTGGCCTGTTTCCATATTTATAAAACAAATAATAAAACTTTCTTTGGAGGGCCAGTGTGAGCATTCATTCATTCAACAAACATTTGCTGACAGCCTATGATGTGCTAGGCTCTCTACTAGGTGCTGGAAATATATCAGCAAATAAAACAAAATTCCTTGCCCTTTGTGGACATTTACACATGAAAAGAGACAACTTTTATAAACCAGGTCACACGTGCTGGGCACGCAGCTCCCACTGTTGGTGCTCCAGTGTGTTCGCGGCATTATTGTCACTAGAGGAACAATCCTGCTTCCTGCACCTGTCTCATCAGAGCAGATGCCCAGGTGTCTGCCTCCTTTATGGCCACTGTCTGCTTTCTCGTGCCACAATTCACCTTTGCAAAATGGACCCCAAGGATAGACATTACCCCAATAGCCCAAGTTTTCTAAATGTCACCTGACCCTTGGCGGTCCTGCCTTGAAGGATCACATCCCACATCTACCCATTCCTTGCTGTAGGGCCTCGGGCAAATTTCTTCACCTTGCAAAATGAAGATGACAATGGCTTCAGATCTGTAGCTAACTCATGCAGTGCCTTTGTGCAAATTAGGAAAAGGTACCCCGCCCCCGAGGTGAGCACAGCCCTGCTGTTTACCAAGGTGTACTATTTGAGGAGTGGGTAGTGTTTTTGTTCAGATTAGAATAAGATGCTGCTTCTTCTGGATGGAGGCCAGCATGAGCCAGGCACATGGCTTGGTGAGCAAAGTATAGTCTAGAATTTAGTCAGTGTTTGCTTCTCTGCCTGGCACCCTCATGCAGTGAATAATCTGCGCATCCATACAGCAACTGCACGGCTAAATCAAAGGATTGTGTGAGGATGACATGAAACTTGTAAAGCATTTGGCATGGTGACTGTCATGTGTTACTAACTCTATATTTGTAACTATTTCTGGTGTTGCTAATATTTTCCCTCATCTGCCTGAAGCATCCCTTCCAACTTCTTCTTCACAGTTCCAATGCTGCCCCCTTGTGAGTTCCTAATGGTATCACTGCCTCCTGCCTCCTCTCATTCAGAAATTTTATTCTTTCCTAGGAGAAGATTTCGGAGTAGCATCTCCCAAAGTGTATCATCAGAGTAGCAGTTCCTCTAGATTAGAAGCAAACTTCTTTCCTCCTTCCCCACTAGTAAAAGACCTCTGCCACAGCACACTGGCAGACAGGAAAGTAAGGACTAAGGAGAGGAGAGACAGATGTGAGGAGCGACGCTGTTGAGCGAGGAGGTAAACTTACCTTTCTCCTGCGACCCAGCTCCTGGCCTCCATTCTTCTCTCCCATGGGATGCAGTCTTTCCAGGCTCAGTTCTTCCCATAAGTGGCTCCAGGGGTGCCTCCAGGGAAGGCCACCCTGCAGTTCCTTTGGAGCAGCCTCTACCAGGGGCCTAAAGAAGCAGCTGGGGTCTGCAGCATGTTCCTTCTCCCCAGCAGTGGCTACCGCTTCTGGGCTGTACTCCCTTTCATTCTTGCCACACATGATGTCCCGTGGCCAAACCCGCCTCCCAAGTAGCCTGTCACCAGTGGGTTGAGAACCACACTCCAGGCACCTGTGAGGAGCCCCAACTTCCGCCAGCGGCCTCCCATGTTGGGGTACAGGAAGCCAGCCACATTGGAGGCATTGTAGGGTCCCAAGCAGAGCAGCAGTGTGAGCAGAGCCCCGCCAGCCACCCAGGCTGCTCTTAGTTTCCGTCTGTGGCTCAGGCCTGAGCCAGCCAATGCCCGAAGGCAGCCCACATAGCAGAAGGCTGTGATAGCCAGTGGCAGAAAGAAGAGCAGGAGAGAGAGGCTGAGGCGAGCAGGGCCCGCTGAGGCTGGGTCCCAGGCCTCCAGGCAGACTGGAGAGCCATTGATTGGTGTGTTGATGCCCAGGGAGTTGGTGGTATTGTCCATCCAGCCTCCCGGAGCCTCCAACCCAAAGACCAGCCCCAAGTGACAGAGGACCAGGGCCCATATGGCCACACACACCCCCCAGGAATAGCAGGGCCTCCGGGAAGCTTGGTAGCCCAAGGGGAAGGCGGCTCCTAGGTAGCGGCCAACGCTCAGGGCAGCCAGGAAGCCGCCACCTGCATAGAGTGGAGCGAAGTGGGCCAGGGCAAAGGCTGGACAGAGTGGAGCCGGCAGAGTCCAGGCTCCTGCGGCCAGGGCCTCCACCGCCTTCAGGGGAAGGGAGGCTGCCAGCAGGAGGTCTGAGCAGCCCAGATGGAGGGCATAGACAAGGCTGGGGGTGAGGCGGAGCCGGGCATGGGCCACGGCACCCCTGATGGCCAGGGTGTTGAGCGGGAAGCCCAGCCCAAATGCGGCCACATAGAGGGCAAAGGAGAGCTGTGGGGGCAGGTCCATGGGTCACAGTGGCCTAATGGGCTCCTGTGCTCACTTGCTTCCTGCCCTCAGATCTCAGGCCTGAGGAGGGGCGCTCTTGGAATCACAAACTGGTTTCAGCACTGCTCAGGGTATTAGAAGCCATGTGGAGACGGAGGCCCACAAAGGGAAGTGGCAGCCAGTTAGCAGGGAAGCCTGGATCAGAAGTAAGGCTGCTAACCTTCAGTCCGCTGCTTTCTTTCCACTGTATCACCTCTTAAAATGAAGAGTGTGATAGAGGATTAACAGAAGATAGAACAAAAGTGTACTGGTACCAGAAGAGCAAAGGCTGCTTGACTTCAGAGACTCTGGGGAGAGAAGGGGTAGAGAGAATTCAAAACAGAGTTGGGCTCCACAGTATGTGCTTTTCTTAGACATGGAAGATAGAGTTCTGCTCTCACCCCCTCCCCCCAATTCTCTGGAAAGAGAAGGAGCTGCTCCCCCACAGTGGACTTTCAGTGGAGGGTTGGTGGCAACTCCTAGCCAAGGGAAGAAGTAGGGGTTTGGGTAGAGTGGAGGTTGCAGCAAAGGGCAGGCAAAGGCAGTTCTCAGGAGAGAACCCAAGGTAATGACCTTAGCTAACTTCAGAGGCACCATAAGCAGGGGGATCTGGGAGTGTGAGAAATAATTATTGGTATAGAGAAGAGCTACAGAAAGAAAGACTCACCTCTTGGTGCTGCCGGATATCTCTGAGGCTCAGGAGTCCCCCTCTGGGCTGAGGGAAGGTGCTTGGGATGCTCAGTGAGCCGGAAGGGAAAGAAGGGTGGGGTGAGAGGGCCATTAGCCCAAGGCACTAGCAGCCTGGGTAAGCAGCTAATGGGGCATCTCCTGCTGGAGCTGAGGCCAGATGGAAGGAGGTAAGGGTCCAGGATGATGTGAACATAGGAAGGGGAGATGGCAGAAATGGGGGCTTTTCCTGGGTAGAGTGCAAAGTGCAGAGCCAGCACCTTGGAGGAGCAGGATTGGTGACATACGACCAGAACACAGCTTTATCCCCCACCCACCTTCAAACCTGCCCTGGGGCAAAGTTTTCTCTAGTCCTGTATGAGCTCTTGGGCTGGCCTCTGGTCACTTCAGTCACCCACACTGTCTCCATTTAGTCATTCATATGTGGGATCATATGTGACCATTCATACTGGAAATAATTATTCTGAAGTATAGCCTGTGCCCTCATCCCCTGACATGCGCAGGTGTGGGCATGTGTTTTCAGAAGCGCACTCCTCCACTCTCCCTCTCTTTTCCCCTCTGTCTTGATGACACTGGTCCCTGATCCTTCTAGTATAAGCAGAAGGAGGAGGAGGAGAGACAAGGGACAAGCAATGTCTCATTTGGTGGCACTAGACGAACCCGGTTGGTGTCTTCACCCTCCCTCTCTGGGCTGCATGAATGTCCAGGGGGACTCCTCCTGGGCCCTTGCAGGGACATTGGCCGGCACAGTGGGTGCCCCAGCTGTCTGCCTAGCTTTCCTTTCTCAGCCTCTGGGAATTCGGCCATTTACTTCCTGTTGGGATCACCTTGTCCTTCCAGGAAGACCTCCTCAATGAGATTTAAAATGGCCAGAGGCTGCCTGTGGTTCTGTCTCTGTCTCTGACTGTGTGTTGTCTCCCCATCTACCTCTATCTGCTGCCCCAGACTGACAACACATCCTCTTGACTTCAGTTTTCTTGGGTGTGCGTGAGGGTCACCAAGCTACTGTGCCCCTCCCACATCCCAAGTCACCCTAAATAAGTAAATGAGCTTCTTTGAGTGGTTTTCTGAGAGTACTTCTTGCCAGGCTTCAGGTGGGGGCAGCATAGCAACAACTCCCTCCAAAGAAACAATCTAATTTTCTTTTTCTACTTTAGTCACTAAGGTGATTCCTGGTCACCTCCCTTCCAAGTCCCATGGATGTTATTCAGCCCCTCTCTTGAAATGTAGAACTTGCCAGCCGTTGTTTAGGATTTTCTGTTTGGAAAACACTGAGAGACTGAGAGAACCAAGGGAAAAAATCAAGAGCAGTGCCATTTCACCTCCTGTAACAAGTGTTTGGGAAAGCAAAGCTGGGTGTAAAGTGAGACATCAAATCTTTGAGATCTCTGCTCCGGGCTTGCCCACCTGGTGGTTCAGGTCTCAGGCCAGTGCCACCTCTTTAGAGGGCCTTCCTTGATCCCTCCATCCAAAGAGGCTCCTGCCTTGCTCCAGTCTCTCTGATTCATCTTGTGTTCTGTTTATTCAGAGCACTCACTGCTAGAGACATCAGATTTCCTAGTTCCTCTGCTAGAATGTTGGTCAGTGAGAGCCAAGATTTCTTTCTGCTTTGTCCACTGCTTGTTGCACACCTAGTGGTGACTCAGGGAGCTTAGTAGTCATTTGTCCTGGTCCTGGAAGGGTGGTGAGATCTGGGCTGGGGTGGAGGGGTGCCCATTGTCTGGAGTCTCTGAACCTCTGAGCTTCCTGGCCATCTGCTGTGCACACCTCAGCTGTGCCTATGGGTGGCTACATCTCTTGGTCAATTGATCATGAAGTAGATTTACGTCAGCAGCAAGGCTCAGAGACAAGATGGAAAGGTACTCACTGGTTGCCAGGAATCCTGAGCCAAGCCTCATCAGGCTCAGGCCTGACTCCAGCCTCTCCAAGGGGACCCCTCCTAAAACCCTTTGGGCATCCCAGAGATCCCCAAATTAGAGCTATGCCATATCTTTTTTGTTATGAGATTTATTTCTAGAGAGAGGGGAAGGGAGAAAAAGAGGGAGAGAAATATCAGTGTGAGAAATATCAACTGGTTGCCTCTCTTAAGTGCCTCAACCAGGGACCAAACCTGCAACCCATACATGTGTCTGGGATCAAACCAGCGACCTTTCATTTTGCAGAATGGCACCCAACCAACTGAGCCACACCAGTCAGGGCTGTCACATCTTTTTTGTGCCCCAATAACTGGCTCTGTGCTGGAGGTGTTGTCATGTGTTCAGGAACTGTCTGCTAAATGAATGGTTGAATGATACTGGACCTCATTTTCAATACGGAACCCCCACTCCCAACACTATCCTTCTCATTTAAACAGTTCTTGGAGTCTCCTCTTGCTCCAGAAAAACTGGTGGTGCTCACAGGAAATCAAACTGGGACAAAGTGGACTGATAAGAAATCAGTGCCTTGCTTTGCATAAATCCAAGGATGACCAGAACCTCCTCTCCCATTTGAGAGCTTTCAGTATTTAGCAGATGGGGAAAGGGAGCAGGAAGGAAAGGTGGCACTTTCAAAGCACCTGCCAAAGATAGGAATTTTATAGTCCTCTTCCTGCTGATTGATTAGCCACCTGTTCCGGACCCCAAGGAGAATGGGCTTTGGCCCTCTGGCAGAAGCAGGAGAATGGGTGGGAAGAGATCAGCCTGAGAAGTGAAGGGCAGCGGGAAGGACCTAACTGGGAAGTTGGAATTAGTGAACACAATAGGGAGCTGGGGGTGCAGAGTGGTGGCAGTGGGAGGTGGAAAAGCTATGAGGTTTCTCAAGGCAGCTGTGGATTGTAAAAGAACTTGGCAGGGATTCTTTTGAGAACAGCTGAGTAATGAATTGGCTTGCCCTTTTTATATTCTTCAAGAGATGCAAATAAGATGGGAATTTGGTTTGGGGGACTTTTGGCTGTCAGGTAAGGCTTCTTATAACGAGACTCCAGCAATGTAAGGTTATACATCATTTCCTTTCTTGAACTTGCACAACAGACGTCTCCATTTTACAAAGGAAGAAACTGAGGCTCAGATAAGCTGGTGAACTTTGCCTACAATTTTGCTCAGCTAGTTAAGTAGAAGAGGCAGGCTCAGACCCAGATCAAGTGCATTCTTTGCAACAAGATAACAGACTCTTCAATCTGAGGACTTTATCATGAAATTACCTTGATTCCTATCCCTTCTCTCCGAGCCTCATTCGTGATGCCTTCCCCATGTCCCTGCCCTACTCTAATTCTACAGACTGGAAATAGTTTACCGATTCTTTGAAGTAATATCTGAGCCATTTTTATTGTGCAGCTCTGTGCTTATTACATGTTTGTCCACATCGGTGTATGTCTCAGACCACAAGATCCCTGAGGGTAGGGCTGCAGTAGCTTTCTATGGAATGCCTCCCTAACAAATAGAGGAGAAACCAGCACCAGGCAGTGCCTCTTTCTACCTCATTTCCATCCCTTTCCCTAGACTTTGCTCCAGAGGCAGAAATCAGACATAAGATTAGCAAGCAGGGCTATGAAAGTGGGGCAGGAGTGGAGTGTCGAGGGGATGGGGAGTGAAAGAAGAAAAACTAGGACCAGCTGATCCTAGCCAGAATACAGCCAGCTGAGGATGGGATTTAGGAGGGGATGGGTGGTGGCAGATAGCTGGGAATGGGCAGGGGGATTTGTACAGTGCAGGCTAGATGTTTAGATGAGTTCCTGGGAGGGAAGGAGAATGACAAAAAAAAAACAAGGGGGGGGGCCACCTTTTTGAATGGCTGGGGTAACCAATGTGGAAAAAAAAAAAAAGACTGCCTCTGGGCCATGCCCAGAATTCTCTGTACTAACTGGGAGTGCACTAATCATGTGTCCGTGTAAGGGGAGGCTGTGTAACTTCTCAGCTGAGCAGTGGGGGTGGCATGGGCCATGACCACCTTGTCCTCTACAGCCTCTAGGCACCTCCACCTCAGCCTGTTTGACCCATTAGTGCTTGAGGGTCACGTATTCCACTCCTTCTTGACTCAGAGGTCGCTCACCAATCCCCAAATGAACCAGCTCCGAATAATGTATCCCTTCGTCTTCTGGAACATCTGGAGTCACATTCTCATAGTCGCCCTGAAAAAGCCACATCATGGTCAGCTTGGCTTCATGGTCCCCATCCTCCCACCTTCTTCTTTGTCTGACACTCTCTCCTTGACTCCACTAAGAGCTCAAGTGCCCAAGCAGGGGCACTCTTGTCCAGAAACTGGCAGCCATTGGCATCTCAGATTGGGAGGTGCCTGCCCTATACCTGAGCAACCTACCTCTTCATTGCCCAGCCTTTGGCACCACTGAGTCCACCCAAGTCTCCCCATCTTGGACTCACAGCTGAGGCCAGGTCCTCTACTCTCCTACTTCTCATAGCCCTGCCCTCTTACCACTTGACGTTTCTGCACCACAGAGTAAGTGACTGTGTTGTCTCTGTTTAAGGAAGTTCTCTGCACCTCTGAGGTTCCTGCTTCTCTGAAAGAGAAGGCAGATAGATGATCACAAATGAAGCATTTCTCATGAACTCTCCTCCTTCTTTTAATTCCCCTAGACCCTAAGAGCACCCCAGCCTCTCAGCCCATTATGTATATGCCTAATGCCCACAGTAGGAGTTAATGTGTTAAATGAGTGGGTGGATGTATGTACCACAATCTTAATTTTGGTGATAGAGACTGATTCTGGACATAGTTTCTGCTGACTTTAAGGAACAGGTCCAATTCCTGAGACAATTACTTACTGAGGGAGCAGGTCATTATGAAATGAGAAAATGGGAATATAGTGGTGCCTGGCATGAGCTTGGCATGGAGATGGCAGGTGGGACATGCACTTTTCCTCCCACAGCCCTCCCAGGGTGCAGCTGTCACCCTCCTGGGGCCTTCTATACCCAATCCTTGGTGTGTCAGTCTCGGCAAGAGGAAAGCGCAGAGTAGCATAGCTGATGGAATCTTCCATCACTGGGTTGTAGCAGCCCAGGGAGTGGGGGCCTTCAGAGAGCGGGGCTCTTCTAACCTGTGAGGGAGGCAAGTTTTCAGCTCTCACCCCTCCTTTCCCCACCATAGTTCCCTTCCCCTGGCCGCTGACAGCCCAGGCTTCTCCACAGTACTCTTTATTCCCTACCCGCCCCCCCACCCATGCCCCCAACCCCCCTTCACTTTGTTTCTTTGCTTGACTTCAAGGTCTTCCCTGCACTTTATCTTTCTTCCATCCTACCTTTCTATTTCTCACAAAGAAGCTCTGTGCACTGGAGTTTTCCTGAAGCCCTTGTTGGCTCTGAATCCTCTTCCAGCTAAGAAATAAAGACCTGCTCAGTGAGGATCAAGGGAATGGGGACAAGACCCTGTAGAATGGGTAAGCTGGGGTCTACAGGACTGAGTAACTGGAGTTACTCCCCGGAACTGGCTGAGGAAAAGAGAAGGGGAAGGGGGACACGGTGGAAAAGGAGGGGGAGGAGGGCATGTGAGGAACTCACCTTCGCTGAAGCTTGACTCCCAAGAGTGGCAGGAGGAGGATGGCCAGGAAGAGCCCCATTCCCAGGGCCACTTGCTTGCTGATGGTCTCTGGGCTATCTGATGAAGAAAGGAGGACCATCTGTTGATGACACGGTCTCAGTCAGATACCAGACCACTCTGCCCTGATATTCTGGAGGGCATCCTCGACTTCTCTTTGTAGAGCTCTATCATTTTGCCTGCATGACTTCCACCAGTGGGGACAGGATGCAGACAAAGAGGGAGAAGCCAGTCCCCACCCTTTGGACCTGCTTTTAGGAGGATAGCTCTTTTTCATGAGGAGCTCCTGCTTTGTGACAGGCAGGGGTACACACAGAGCATGTAACCCCCATAAATGCATACGACATCTTCAGAGGGCACTTTGGCCATACTATTAGAACTTCAAACCACTGTCCTTTGACCCAGAAATTTAGTGTAGGAATTTATCTTCCAACTATTCTTGCAGGGGTGCCCCAAGCAAGAGAGTATACACATCTTGAGGAGGGCACTAGGTAGTGAGCTAAGCAACATCCATACACCAGAATATAGCACAGTCCTTAGGGGGGAAAAGGCAGGTTTCCAGGGTGTCTGCAAAGTGGGAGACCCAGGGAACATGTTTTTATACAATATAGTACATTTCAAAGTTACATGCTCACGCTATTTTCCTTTAGTGTCCAACTTTGCAGTCAATGACCCTCTAAATTTAAAACCATGGCACCAATCACTAATCTGAAAAAGTATAACAAATAAATTAATGTCTTCCCAATGCTTCCAGACTCTTTATACACCCTGTATATGCACTCTCCAGGTGATGTTAATACATGGAATAAAAAGAGGTTCAGGACAAAGTGTAAGCCCTGCCACCATTTGTGTAATGAAGGGTTTTATATAGATACAGATGTATAGATGCACGTTGCACACATAAAGAATTCTGTGAGGAGATGTAAACACCTTCCAACAGTGCAGGCTTAGAGGGAGGGGTAGAGTTCCTGGGAAGCAAGAAAGGAGAGGTGTCTGTATTTCCACTGTTTGCTCTTTCGTGCTGTTTAGAACGTTTACCATGTACTCGTACGGTCTTTTTAAAAAAACACTTAAGCTCTGGCTGGGGTAGCTCAGTGGATTGAGTGTGGGCTGTAAACCAAAGGGTCACTGGTTTGATTCCCAATCAGGGCATATGCTTGAGTTGTAGGCCAGGTCCCCAGTGGGGGCCATGTGAGAAGCAACCACGCATTGATGTTTCTCTCCCTCTCTTTTTCCTTCCCTTCCCCTCTCTCTAAAAATAAAGAAATAAAATATTAAAAAAAAATAAAAAACACTTAAGTTTCAAAAGATAAAACAAGGGTGATACAGAGAGTGACAGAGGGAGGGACCCAGTTGGACCTCAGGGTGTCTAGAAGGCAGAAACAGTCTGAGAGGGAATCCTCCTGGAGAGAGTCAGGAAGGGCAGGAAGAAGGGAAGACTGGTGAGCTATGTGCAGCAGGGGTTGCCTTTGAGCACACAGGCTGGGCTGGCCTGGCAGGACAGGGAGGAGATGCGGAGGGAGGAAGGAGTAGGTGGCTGGGATGCACAGCCTTGGGGCAAAACAACAGGAGTGATCAAAGCCAGAGAAGAGGGAAGGAGCCTTACAGTAGACAGTGAGGATTCTGGGGGGTGACTGGTCCATGCCCAGTCGGTTGGCCCCCTGGCACCAATAGGCGCCTGAGTCCTGGACCTTCACAGGATCTAATCTCAGCGTCTGATCATCATGGTGAAGGTTTTGGTTATTCCAGTCGAACCAGGTATACCGGGAGATGGGAGGGTTGGCATCACTCTCACACGTCAGGACGGCCTTCTTCCCCTCCATCACACTGTCTTTAGGGCTAATGGACACCCGTAACCTCCTAGGTGCATCTGCAAGGAGAAGTGAAATCAGGATCCAGGTAGCCAGTTACCTGCCCTTCTCTGCTGTTAGCCTCCAGGTCCAGCCACTCACACAGCACTTGGAGCTTCCAGGCCTCAGATGTGCTCTGTCCTATGGAGTTGTTGACCAAGCAGTTGTAATTTCCAGCATCTTCTGGAGAGATGGAGTCAAAGCTCAGATCTCTTCCTTCCTTCAGAAATATTCCATTTTTCTTCCAGAAGAAGAGGACATCAGTGGGGTAGCTACTTGAGAAGTTACATCGGAGGAGGACTGGGTGCCCAGAGTAAATCTCAGAACCAGGGCTAATCAGCAGGACCTTGACACCTCTGGGGGCATCTGGAGAGCAAGGGCCTCAGTTTGACCTCTTGGGTCCTGTTCCCTCTTCCTGTCCCCAGGACTTCCTCTCCCTTAGGTGCTGAGACCTGACTCTCATCCCTTAATTCTCTGTGAGGATTCTGGTCGAGGCTCCAGTCTCCTCACCCTTAAAGCCCCAATCCCACCTTGCCACCTCCCAGATGCCCCTGCCTGGGTCACTCACACTGGACATGCAGGTTGACAGGGGAAGCCCATGAACACCACTGATTACAGGCTGCACAGGAGAATGGACTGGCATTCCAGGGAACTTTTTGAATCACCAGGACCCCAGGCATTATCTCTTTCCAGGAGCCTTGGGTTTGCCATTCATATCTGGTAACACTGGGGTTACTGGAAGTGTAGTTGCAAAACAGGGTCACATCGTCTCCTTCTCGAATTGGTGAGGGGTTTTGAATCACCATAGTTACTTCTTTGGGGGAATCTGGGAGAAAATGAGAGAAATGGGTGAGGAAAAGTCAGCTGTTCATAATACCTGTTCCTTTCTGCTTCCTCTTTTCCTTCTGCCTATCTCCTGAACCCACACAGTTCCGAAATTAAGCACAGGAAGGCTCACACTTCCCTCTTGTATCCATGTGAGGACAGAAATCCTGCCCTTCCTATTTGGCCTGGTTGTTAGAGATAGGATGGTGCATCGGCTAGGAGCATGGCTCTGGCAGAGAACACGTGGCACTGTCTGTTGTCTTTGCAAGGGTCTGGGGCACATTGCCAGGTGGCTGCAACATGAGTGGTAATAATAATAGTAATAGTAATAGTAATAATAATAATAATAATTTTAAAAGGTACAGCTCTGGAACCAGACTGCCAGGCCCTACCACTATGGGCTGCAAGTCTCAGTTTATTCATCTGTCAAATGGGGTCCTAAGAGTATCAAAACTCATGGAATTGTTGCCAGAACAAAAGAAAATGATGTCCTTAGAGCAGTGTAGTAAACACTCAATAAACATCAATGATGCTGCTGCTGCTACTATTGTATATCAGCCTGCCTAGATGTTCCAGATTTGTGTGTTCCCACAGCATAATTTGGTCCAGACATTGATGTTCCAAGATTCAAGGATGAAAACTATGGATTCTCTTTGTCTTGGTCTTGACTCAATGACAAGACGCACTGTGTTAAAAAGGGTTTGATGATGGAGAGGTAATGGCACATATTGCCCCATTTCTCCTCAAAAACTTCAGGACCCCTTCTAGGACTCAGCCACTGCTTAGCGATGCCAAGCCTCTATTTCCCTCATGGGACCCTGGTATTGTGCAGCTTATTCATTCAACAAACATCCACTAAGCACCTACCACCAGCCAGGCCTTATTTTGGTGCAGAGAATACAACTGTGAACAGCAGCAAAATACCCGCCCCAAGAAGATTACATGTCAGGAGACTCTGGCTTTTGTTTGCTGTTCATCCTAGGTCTCAGGAATCCCCTGCACTCATCTGCCTTCCTCCTGTATCTACTTCCACAGCTTCTCCCTCTAGAACCCACATGCTCTGTGACTACTCACATTGGACATCCAACTCAGCTGCTTGGCCAGCTTTTCCTGTGCCAACACTATTTTTTGCCAAGCAGGAATAATTTCCAGCATGCTCGAGGAAGACGTTTGGGATCTGGAAGGTCTTGTTTGTTTCCGATATTTCAATCTTATTGTGATACCAGGTATAATTTATTGGAGGAGGACAGGCTTGTGATAAACAAGTCAGGTTTATTTTACTTCCCTCCTTAGCTGGTGAGACTGTGATCTCAACTGTGGAAGGTTCTGGAGCATCTGCAAAAAGGGGCAGAGGCAAGTGTGGGAGGTGAGCAGAGGCGGCTCCTGCTTATCTCTCAAGGGCCTTGGTTCCACCCCCTAACTCCCTGCCCTTCCACAGTTCCCAGGAGGCTCACAGTGCACTTGGAGGGTCACTTCTAACTTTGTTGAGCCTATTCCATTATGGGCCTCACAGTGGTACTTTCCAGCCGCCTGCTTGGTCACTGAGGGCAGAGTTAGTGTGGCTGTCTTCTGCTCCTGGTGCAGTGTCTCGTGCTCATTCAAAGGGTTTCCATCCTTGAACCAGAACATACTAGTGAACTGTGGGTTGCTACTGATGATCTGGCACTTCATGGTCACAGAATCCCTCTCTTTCACAATGGCATCTTCAAGACTCGTCATGTTCACAGAATTCCCCTCTTTCACATTGGCTTCTCCATGACTCAACGTGATCTGCAATTTGGGGGAGTCTGGTGGAGCAGAGGGACAGTGGGGGAAGGGACAGAGAATTCTCAGAGGGTGTAAAGTGGTGAGAAGTTGCCCAGCTTTTCTTCTGATAAAGCAGTGGCCTGCATGTAGCATTTGAGGTGTGCAGCCACTCACTGTTACCCCTGTTGCGTGGGCTGGCAACTGTCACTGCCTCCCACTCATTTCTGCTCTTCCCACCCCCAGTTCCTGAAGGTCTGGTCACCACCAGCAGCCAGCAGCATTCCTAACACCATCAATTAGACCTTGCTTCTCCCTTGCTTGAAACCATTCAGTGGAGTCCTCACTTAAAATAAAATCCCAAACCCTAAGTGTTGCCCACAAGCTCAAATGCCCTGGTTCCTCCCAACCATCCTGTCCTACACTAGACCCCTCAGACACGGTGCTGGGGGTCTGTGGCCCCTTGCTTGTCACAGACACACCAAGTTCCTACTTCAAATCTTTGTCCTCACTCTTTCTTCTTCTTGGAATGTTCTCGAAATTATCTGCCTGCCTCAATCCCTCCCTTCATTCAAGTCTCAGTTCAAGTTTACCTGCCTCACAGAAGTCTCCATCTCTTACTCCCTCTGTCCAACCCCTGCTTTACTTTTTTCTTAATACAGTTAGCACTACATACTGTTATGTTCTCTATTTTGTTATTGATCTCTTTATTGCTTGTCTTTCCCACTGCAATGCTATCTCCACATGAGCAAGAATTTTGCTCACCACTGTCTCCTCAGCAACCATAAGACAACCTGACACCTAGTACATTTGCAAGAAATATCTATTGAATGAATAAATGAGGCAAAAATAATGATATGAAAAAATTCCTCTCTGCTGTCCCCAAATAAGAACAAGAAAACCTACCCAGATGATACCAAAATCATGTGATTAATCCTCATAGCTTGAGGATAGATTAAAATATTTTATTCTATTAGACCAAAGAAGATGCTGAAATGAATCAGTTTCCTGACAACAGGGATGGTGGAGGAATGGACCCAGCTAGGCCTGGACCATCCCCAGGTTCAGGGGCCCACAGACTGCTTATGCTTCCTTCTGTGGAAGTTCCTCCTACTCTGGGTGCTCACTGAAGTGTTAGGAGAAGAGGACAAGTCTCTCATCCTTCCCATACGAGCATTGGAGAGACTCACGCTTCACATCCAGCTGCACCGTTTCCTGAGAGAGTAGCCCATCTGCACTATCATTCCAGAGCTGACAGGTCAGTTTCTTGCCGTGGTTGGTCCACTCTGGCTGGAATGTGAGCTGGCTCTGGGTAGAGACAGTCTTGGTGGTCAGGGAAGTTGAGGTGACAGAGGAAAGATTATGTTGTGTCCCCTCCAGGGACCACTGCAATTTGATCTGGGACCCAAAGCAGGCAAAATCCAGTTGGCAGGTTAGCTTGACTTCCTGGAGCTCCCGGATCTCTGAAGGGAGGTTAATGCGAGGTGGAGGAGCCGTCTCTGCAAAAGAGTAAGACCCATGCTGGTGGCCTGGGAGACTGAGGACTGCTGCATACTATCTTCTTACACCTGGCTTTAGATGCCATGCCCCAAATAACTCCTCAGGAACCCCTTCCCAGTCTATCTACCTCTCTCCAGGCCTGCCCTCTGCTGTGAATCACTTTTGCTCAGCTGAAGCACACACTATGGAAGGTCAAGGGCTGAACCTCCTTAGGGATTACATTTCAGATTTTGTACTTATTTTATTCTCACTGCCAAATGTTTGCTTTCTAAATGTTTTCAAGAGTGCTCTCCCCACCACCCCTAAGTGAATTTCACCAGTTTAGTTCAACATGCATTTCTTGGCTTTGATGACAAGCCTGCATTGTTTAATGGCCTCACCCCAACAGCATTGCTTTAGGGGGTTCCTTTAGTAGAGCAGGACTGCGGGTAGCCAATCCCAGCTGTCCCAGGGCCAGGCCACCCTCAAACTGCAGGGTCTGAAGCTACATCTTTCACCCCAAACATAGGGCTGCCTAGAACCACCCACCTACGAGAGGCTATGAAACGGAGTGAGCACATGTCCTGGGGTGCAGGCTCCAGAGCTGTGTTTGATCCACCTCTTACATGTTTGTCATTTAGCCATGAAGAGCCACTTAGAATTAAACACCAACATTAACACATTGGAAGATTTTACTTCAAGATCTAGAGTTTTATCTCCTTTTGAAAAATCAGGTAACCTGGAATCTAGATTACAGAATGGGCAGAGGCTGAGTGACAGGTGGGATCCTTAAAAAGGAACAAGTGCTCATGCTCCCATTTGGCCACAGCCCCATGTGTGTGCTGCCTGAGCCACCCACTGACACCCCCTGCTTAGCCTCTGCAGGCAATCTCGTTTGGGGCCCCTGTCCCAGGAGTCAGTGTTTCCCACTTCCCTCCTTGCCCGTGCAGAGGCAGAGGACCACCCCCGCCATGGCCTTACTGGAGATGTTGAGGACTATCTTGTCCATCCATCTGTCATTCCTCGATGTCACCCTCAGTCCCAGCTGACCATTGTCTTGGGCATTTACAGGGTGGATGTGTAGGGTGCAGTTGGATTTGTTGTCTCCCAGGAATCGTACCCTTCCCTCAAAGGCAGGTGTCTCAAACTTTTTCTCTTCATGGAGGACTGTCCCACTGAAATCCTTGGTCTTGTCATCCCACTTATAATTCTGATACACAGTCAGGTTATCCAGGACCTTTCCATTCCCTGGGATTGTGTAGCGGCAGGGAATCCAGATGCAGGTCCCCTCCCAGGCATAGAGGGTTGTTGGGTGTTCAAACTTCCAATCTTGTGAGTCAGAGAAAGCCACGTATTCTGGAATCCACCACAGTTATCAAAAGCGTTATTGAGGGGCATAGAGAGCTTTCAAAGGAGTAAAGAATCCCCTCTAAAGAGAGAAGGAGAGACACAAAGAGCAAGACACAAAGAGAAAAGCATATATATATACATGCGTCCACTGCCTGTCCCACCCTACCCCACATTTACTCTTTTCTGCCCCAGATCTTTTCTCCTTCTGCAGCTCCACAGTCTCCCCAGAACCCAACTACCATCCCAGCCCACAGTCCTTACCGAGAAGCAGGAGCAAGGGGCTGAGGAGATGCATGGTGTTGTGTCTAGGAGGGGGCCTGAGGCAGAAAGAGTGTGTCTTTGAGGCATCTGGTCTCTTATTCCTCCAGGCAGCTTTTCTTATTCATGTACTGAGCTCCGACCCCTTGTCCCTGATCCCTGGAAGCCCATGTCCAATTGTGGTAGGATGTGGGCTTCTGGAAGCACACAGGGCCTTCCCTGTTGTGCTGTGCTTCTCCCAGCAGCCCAAGAACCCTGTTAGGCTAGTCTCTCTCTCTTCCCAGTACTTGTTCCTTTCTTCCATTCACCCATCCATACATGATTGTATAAACTTCCTAACCAGCTCTCAGGCTTTGAATAGCACCAGGTGACTCAGCACTGACAGTGTCAGGCCCTGGGAAACTTGGGGATCACCTTGGGGCAACTAGTAAAGGGTTTTACATAGGCGAGAGATATGCCCAAAACTTGATTTTAAAGACCAGGAAAAAAAACAACTTTAAAACAAATAATTAAGTATGATATCAAGAGAGCATTTAAAGGAGTCTGAAAGGACTTAGGAGAATGTGGTCCCTCTCAGATGTCCCCAGGGGCTGGGTAGGAAACATAAATCAACCAGGTGGGGACAAAATCATGGGTTATGCCTTATATGATAACTATCACAGCTTAGGGGATGATTCTCAGTTCTAGCTAATTGTTGCCAAGTGGGAATGTAGGCTCATCACTGCCTGATCTTTCACTGTTTTAAGAGAAGTAAGAAGCCAGATTGCCACGTGAAATGTCCTGCTTTAAAAAAACAAATAAACAAACAAACAAGCACAGTGTTGGTCAAACAAAACTTGTCTGTGGACTAGAGAGTCCAGGGCTGCCATCTGCTACTGCTGTCACTCACTCTCTCTCTCTCTCTCTCTCTCTCTCTCTCTCTCTCTCTCTCCCCCCCCCTCCACCCCCACCAGTGAACTGACCTGCCACCTTACTATACTTTTACGAAGTTACATTTACATAAAGTTAAATTTAAGTCCCAGTTTGCATAGCTAAGCCCTCAGTGACAGTCCCCAGGGAGCCAGGCAGGATGTGTCCACAGAGTGTGTCTCCGTTCTCAGCACAGATCCTGCCCCTCCCACTCACCCAGCCAACATTTCCCACACATTGACTCCCCCACCCAGCCACTGGCTGTGTGGCTTCTGCCAAAGGCTGTTGAATACCCAGTACCTGGTATGGGGAAAGCTAAGCTGCTTGCTGAAAGCAGGAAAGCAGGAAGGGGGTCTGTCCCCAGGCTTAGTGACTGTGCAGGCCTGGCCCAGGCAGGGGTAGGGGTAAGGAGTTGGAAGTGGGGCAGTCTCTCCAGGCAGAGTTGACACCAGCTCTGTACGTGCTAACAGTGTTACACACAAAAAAGTCAAGGTCAGATCCATTTAAGAGAAGCTGATTTTTAAAAAGTAAAATAGGACTCTTTACTGCAGGTCTTTTCAAAACCTTTAATCACAGTGTGTGTGTGTGGTACATCTCCCAGCATGGTTGTTTGAACACACTTCTTTAGCCATGGGAACTACTTTGTTTTCCATGAAAATGTCAGGCTTGCAGGGTCAGTGTTTTGAGAGATGCACTTTGGATACCCTTTGAGTTTCTACAAGATTTGTGGCAAGGGCCAAATTCCATGCCCTGAGGCAAAGACTAGCCTCCCATAGTTGGGCCATTGTGCCCTCAGCTGCCAGCAGCCACCGGCCATACCCTCATTGAGAACTGGCTTTTTAGGATGAGTGGCAGAGGGGCTTTGTGCTTACCCAAAGGAGCTCCAGAAAGTCTCTGGGGCAAAAGAAGTGGGCTCCAGGCCTGGAACTGAAAGGCTGCTGAGGCTTGGTGGAACTTGGAGGCTAGGGACAGTAGGCATTAGGCAAAAGACGAAGGACAAAGCCACACCATTCAGGACTTCAGAGCTAGCCTCCCTGAGTTTATGCTTCTCTTTTGAGCATCTAGTGACCCATCTTATTCTCAGAAGACTCACCAAGCTCAACCAGGAGATATTCAAACACAGGGCTCTACAACCTGCTATAACACAGCAAGAGAGGGTGGGGTCCTCACTATACTAGTAGCCCTAAGAATTGTGCCTGACACACAATAGTTGCTCTATAGTTGCTTGCTGAATGCAAAAGAGAACAAAATCATTTTTTACCTGTTTTCTGGTGTCTTCCCTCTTCAGAGATCCTGGCAGCATCTGAGAGTAAAAGGGGAAGCACAGCAAAGTCTCTTGTAACTGATTTTCACACTCTTTGGCCACACCTCCTACCTTTCTGTGGCTCTGAGGGTGACTAAGAGGCATGATGAACTGAGGAGTGGAGAAATGAGGCAATGAAGGGGATATGGGCAGGAGTTAGATCGGATGAAACACTCAAATATCTATGGTCAATTTTTTGTTTTAGTGTATGAAGTTTCTATATCAGATGAGTTTCAGAGCAGGCTCCTCCACAACTTCCCCTTTATCTAGACCTTAGGAAGTTCTAATGACTCAGTCCAAGCAAATGAAAACTGCCAGCCTGCTGAAAAAGGCACAAGTCAACCTGAAAGTATTTGTCGTTTAGTGTCACCATCGAATTATTCTCGTTCCTGTTACTTTCCCTCGATAGCCTTGAAAAGTAGGGAATCTGACCACTGACACTGATGTTTCAGCAGCCCCCAAGGATTGAGAAAGCACACAGGTATCAGAAAGGAAGAAGATAAATTATGGGAAGTGTTATTGAATGCACAAGTCTTGAAACCAAAACCTCACCACTTTTCTCAGGTATCTAGTCTGTGTTTAAGACCAGAACTAAGTCAACAAAACAAGCAACAAGTGTTGGAGAGGCTGTGGAGAAAAGGGGACCCTAGAGCACTGTTGGTAGGATTGCGGACTGGTACAACCAATATGGAAAACAGTATGGAATTTTCTCTGAAAACTAAAAATGGATCTGCCTTTTGACCCAGCGATTCCACTACTGGGCCTCTATCCTAAGAACCCTGAAACATCAATCCAAAAGAACCTATGCACCCCAATGTTCATAACAGCACAATTTACAATAGCCAAGTGTTGGAAGCAACCTAGGTGCCCATCAGTAAATGAATGGATCAAAAAACTATGGTACATTTACACAATGGAATTCTATGCACAGAAAGAAAGTAGGAACTCCTACCCTTTGCGACAGCATGGATAGAGCTAGAAAGCATTATGCTAAGTGAAATAAGCCAGGCAGTGAAAGACAAATACCATATGATCTCACCTTTATCAGGAACCTAAACAACAAAACAAAGAAACAAGCAAAATATAACCAAAGACACTGAAATAGAGAACAGGTTGACAGTGTTCAGAGGGGAGAGGGGAGGGAATTTCAGGGGAATTTCAGGGGAAAAGGGGAAGGGTTTACAGGAACAAGTATAAAGGACACATGGCCAAAAACTAGGGGTGGGTGGAAATAGGAGGCAGGTGGGGAGGGCTGGGTGGGTGGGCTGGGGTGGGAGTAAAAGATAGAAAATTGTACTTGAACAATAATTAAAATAAAATTTAAAAAAGAAAAAAGAAAAGAAAAAAAATAAAGCAAGCAAACAAAATATAACCAGAGACATTGAAATTAAGAACAAACTGACAGTAATCAGAGGGGTGGTGCGAGAGGATGAGGGTAAAGGGGGAATGGTTTTCAGGAACATGTATAACGGATGCATGGACAAAACCAAAGGAGGGTAGGATCAAGGGTGGGAAGTGGGGATGGCTGGGGTGGGGGGAAAATGTAGACACCTGTACTTGAACAACAATAAAAAATGTGAAAAAATGGAATTAGACAATAGGCAAAGCCATGCAAATCCTACAGATGATATGGGAAGCTTCGGAGGAATCTTCACTCTGACACCACTACACTCTACTGACTGCCAGGCATTAAGAAGGAAATAGAAAGAGTGAAGGACAAGTTCTTCAAAAAGCAGTGATGTTCTGGGAGGTTCTAGGTACTTTTGCTGTAGAATCCTTGCTGCAAGGATTTTTGCCACAAATGTTTTTGTCACATAAGTAATTGGCCATAAACAATTTTGTCATAAAAGATAAAATTATGAGAAATAAAATAATAATGTTAAAAATAAAATTAAATATAAAATTTAAAAGATTCTATAAGGAAATATAAAATATTTGAATACATTTAAAATGTGTGTAAATTCCTAGCAACACTTTGCAAATAACTGACTTTATTTGGTACCTAAGCACTTGTCTTTGTTCTGTGGGAAATGTGGGTTCAGCTCTGCACCCACAAAGAGGGCCCTTGGCCTCTTATTTTCCCCCAAATGTAGTATGGTTTCAAAAAAGGAAACCAACTCTTGGGGAAAATCATCACCTGAAAGAAATGCTAACTATTTTAAGACCAGCACCATGTCTACTTATCACTGTATAGAGCACTGTGAGGATGACAAAGATTTATTTATAATACAAAAATGTCAGTAACTGTGAACACTTTGTCAATGGAGAAATGAAACCAAACAAACAAAAACACCAAACATTTTTTTACAGTGGTTGAATGATTAGTAAATGAAGAAATGAAACCAAAAATACTAACAAAAAACCCAAACTGTCAATCAGTTACTTTATCTTTTTATGGAAAAATTGCCTTATGGTCAATTAGTTATGCAGCAAAATGTTTGCAGCAAAGGTGGTATAGCAAAAGTACCGGACATAGTTCTGAGAAGATGGAGTAGGTGTACTTTCCCCCATTTATTCTTCTAAATACTACAAAAACCCTGGAAATTATAAAACAAGCATAAGGAGACTCTGAAATGTGGAAAGAAAACACACTGGCTAGAGACCTCAGGACCTGAGGAATGATATGGCAATAAATTCCATGGGTTTCCTCTTTGCTTCTTATATCCCAGACTGAATTCTAGAGAAGCCAGCAACTGGAAATACCAATAGGCCCAGACAAAAAAGAATTCCAGCAAAATTCTGCTCTTCTAGCCAAAGAACCAGGAAAGAGGCAGTCTAGGTAGAAATCCTTCAGGCAATAACTGCCCTACTCCAGAAAAACCTGAAGCCTCACCCCGATGCACTGATAGCAAAGGCTGAGTGGGGAGCCTAGACTTCTTTAACAAAGCTCCTCAGGCCACTCCATGATACTCCATCTAAATGATGCCAGAGGAAGCTGAGTCTGGAGCTGGGTCCTCCATTCCCACTGGGCTCTTCCTCCCCACAGTGCCAGTGGAGAACACATGGGTAGCCTGAACATTTACCCCCACCCAGTGGTGATGACACATTTCTCTCTTCCTCCCTGAAGAGAGAACTAATGGATAGTCGGGACATCTACCATCACTCAGTGGTAACAAGACCACCTCCTGTAGTGTAATCTGTGTGAAAGACGTGAACAGCCATAATAAAGTATCCTTCCCTTTTCCCAACTAGAGTGGTAATAGTGGGTGCCTAATGAGGAACAAACCCCCACCCCTTCAATCTTTGTCATACTATTAAACATTCCAACAATAACAAGGAACCTTCACTTCCCAGGTGTCAAGGGAGGCTGAATGCAGAATCTGAACTCCTGCCCCCACTTGGTAGTAGTGAGGTAGTGCCCACTTCATTCCGGCGGAGCAGTGTCAGGGTGGCTTGTTCTAACACAGATTTAAGGAAGATCCAGTCCTATCACATGAGGCCCCAATTTCTAGGTTTCCATTGAAAAATCCCTTGTCATACTAAGAACTGGAAAGTTCTCAAACTGAATAAAAAAAAGATAACAAACAGACACAAATGCTAAAATGACACAGATATCAAAATTATCTGCCAAAGATTTTTAAGCAGCCATCATAAAGTGATTTCATGAGCAATTACAAACATACTTGAAACAAATGAAAAAATAGAAAGTCTCAGCAAAGAAATAGAAAATATAAAGAGAACCAAAACCATTTTAGAATTAAAAAAAATGCTAACTGAAATAAATAAAAGCCTTAATGACTGAACTCAACAGCAGAATGGAGATTACAGAAGAAAGAATCAGTGAAGTGGAATATAGAACAATAAAAATTGTTCTATATACCCAAACTGAACAAAAAAGAAAAAAGAGATTGAAAAAAAATGATTATTTGTGACTATGAGATCTAACATTTATGTCACTTGAGTCCCATAAGGAGAGGAGAAACAGAGCAGAGCTGAGAAAGTATTCAAAGAAATAATGGCTAAAATTATTCATAACTTGACAAAACAAAAAACATGTATCTAAAAATTCAAGAAGCTAAGCAAAGCTGGAATAATATAATCCCCCAAAAATCCATGCCAAGACACATAATAGACAAAGAAACTTGAAAACAAACATGAAGAAATGACACATCACCTATGGAGAGAGAATAAATGAAAATGACAGTAGTTTTCACATCAAAAGCCATGGAGGCCACAAGGAAAGGAAACAGCATTTTTTTTGGATACTGAAAGAAATTAACTATAAACCCAGAAACCTATATTTAGTGAAAATATTTTTCAGGAAGGAGAGAAAATCAAGACATTCTCAGATAAAGGATAACTAACAGAATTGTTAACCAACAGAGACCTGTCCTTTAAAAATGACTAAGAGGAATCCTTTTTTAAAAAGAATCTTGAAACATTAGGAAGGAAGCAATAACATGGAAAGAAAAAATCTATGGGTAAATACAAAAGAATTTTCTCCTTGAGTTTTCTTCTTTTTATTTTATTTTAATCATTGTTCAAGTACAGTTTTCTCCCTTTTACTCCCAATCCAGCCCCCCTCCCAAACCTCCCCACTTCCCTCCCATTACCACCCTCCCCCTAGTTTTTGTCCATGTGTCCTTTAAATTTGTCCCGGTGAACCCTTCCCATTGTCCCCTGAAATTCCCTCTTCTCTCCCCTGTGGTCACTGTCAGCCTGCCCTCTATTTCAGTGTCTTTGGTTATATTTTGCTTTTTTCTTTGTTTTGTTGTTTAGGTTCCTGTTAAAGGTGAGATCATATGGTATTTGTCTTTCACTGCCTGACTTGTTTCGCTTAGCATAATGTTTTCTAGCTCCATCCAAGCTGTTGCTAAGGGTAGGAGCTCCTTCTTTCTTTCTGCTGCATAGAATTCCATTGTATAAATGTACCATAGTTTTTTGATCCATTCATTTACTGATGGGCATCTTGGTTGCTTCCAGCATCTAGCTATTGTAAATTGTGCTGCTATGAACATTGGGGTGCATAGGTTCTTTTGGATTGGTGTTTTAGTATTCTTAGGATAGAGTCCCAGCAGTGAAATTGCTGGGTCAAAAGGCAGATCCATTTTTAGTTTTA